TAAAAATAGTGAGCTGAACGTAAACGTCCAACCCTCGTATTATTCGAGCAATAATTATAATAGTAGTAATAATAATAATAATAATAATGGGAACACTGCTTTTATTTTATCAAATATCACAAAATGAATATAAAGATAGATATAAAATAATGTTTAATATAATAAAGTATTTAAATTAATAAGCTGTTAGTCTAATTTGCTCATCACTCGACAAAAATGAGTACAAATAGAGGATTATAGCCAATAAAAATAAGGTTCATTCATTATTCCTATCGCAATATATTGAGTAAGATGATGATAACACAGAGTTTATTAAATTGTTTCTAAAATCGTTCGACCAAATTAAGTTGACCAGCGATAAATTAAAAGTATTGTAAAAACCCATTGTAGAAATTTCAAATGTCTTAATTAAAAGTTTAAAATTATTGTATTCACTCTTTAAATTAAGTTAAAGGGCTTGAGAGTACTTTTCAATTTTGTATTCTTTAGATTTTTTAAAATTTGTTTCGTGGCATATCGTTATTTCTAAAATCTCGATCGTGTCGTCGCGGACCAGTGCTATATCAGGACGCAGAGATTTAAACAGCGTTGATACTGGACGAAAATCTTCACACTCCAGATCGGCAAACAACGAGACTTCCAAACTTGCGCATTTTTTAATATTTTCTAAAACTATTGAGAAAACTTTGTTGTGACGATCTGACAATTAGACAAAACATGCTTGTTTGTTTGATAAGCGTCACATAGTGGACATTGTGGTTTAGACGTTTTGCCCCATCTTGCTAGGTTGGAGTTTGTTGGAAGTTGTTGAATGATACTTTTCCTAATAAACTTGTAAATAACCTCTGACAGTGTGGCCGTAGACCTTGACCAGCGAACTATTTGATTTGATTTGATGCTTTCCTTCACTGTCTTCAACACTATTCCTTGGGAGCTTAGTGATGATAAATGGTCGAACACCGTTTCTTGCTGTTTGAGCTTCAAATCATGGAGAGTGGGATTTATATCTTTGGTGACTGGGAGCAAGTTGTCTATTTTTGTGTAGTCATTAAATGACTCGCTCCACAGACTTTTCATTTCTTCGTTACCGTTAGATTTAAGGTAGTTGCGAAGCTTCACTCTCAATGATTCAGCATAATGTTTCAGGGATCTGATGTTCAGACCTCCCAATTTGTACGGCAGTGAAAGAATCTCAGATAGACAGCTGCTTATCGGTAAAGCCAGCCAAGTTCTAACGGCATCGTTAATCAATGGATCCAACTTGCTGGCAATCCATGACAGTGATATATCGTAAATACGCAGTTCGAAGGCTACTTGAGCTGGGATAAAACGACGTAAAATTTGAAGTTTCCACTGGGCTGTGGTGTCCAGACTTGAAATCGTTGACAACATGCCTTGTAATTTGTTGAGCAGCAAGTCTTTAGCTTTGGAATTGTTGCATTCGAAATCGTATATTTTACCTAGATATTCGAAATGGTCACCAATGCGAATCTACGGTACAGGGGTGTCATCAATTGTCAACCTCGGCAGAAATTGTTCGTAGTTACCACTTTTCTTTCTCATGCCGAACGTGCAGCATTTATCTATCCTCATTTTCATCCCGGTAGCTTTGCACCAAGCTTTCTTTAAGTCAATTAATTTTGGGCACCTTCTGTGCTGTTGGCGATGATTGCTGAGTCGTCAGCAAATTGGAACCATGCCCTTGATTTTAAATAAGCTGAAGGGCCCCAAATGTAACCACATTGCTGGTATTCCCTTCCCTCTAACAATTTCATGAGTAGATTAAAACAAAGGTTGAACAGCAACGGTGACGCAGGATCACCTTGTAGTACACCACGCTTGACCGGGATCGGAGGAGTTAGCTTTTCGCATCCAGAGACCGATATCGAATAGTCTGTGTATATGAATTTTAATAAATTGGTTATCGCTGGTGGTATATGATGGTAATTTAGAGAAGCTGAAATAAGGTCATGACGGACTTTGCCAAAAGCGTTGCGAAGATCCAAAAGTGAGACGATGACTGTTCTTTGGTGTCTCTTTGCATCTTTGAGCATATGAGTTAATAATTGAGTATGCTCTGCCAAACCATCTACTTTTGGATAGAAACCTTTCTTGATATTTTTATTAATGTAATTGTTGGATTCTAAAAATTTGTATATTCTGTTGTTGATGAACGACGAGAATATTTTATATAGGGTAGGCTGCAAAGTTATTGGTCTGAAGTTGGCAGGGTCATTGGCGTCACCTTTTTTGTGAATTAAAATTGAGAACCCTTTTTTCCAACAGGATGGAATCGTTGATGATGACCAACATTTGTTTAGAAGTTGATGAAGGATTGTACGAAGAATCGGACATTTTTGAAGGGTATCGTTGAAATCTGGTCAAGAGGGCATGGAGATGCTTTAGATTTGCATTTGCGAATAATTGATGAAATTTCTGCATATGATGGTGGATTTATATTAAATGGTATTGCAGGTTCTTGAAGATTTTGTATCCAATTTGGAAGGTTGAATTTATTGTTTGGAGAATCACTTAAAATTGAATGGAAATATTTCTTGCATTTGTTAGAATTAAATTGAGGTGACAAACTTGTTGACTTGTTGAATAGTGATTTGCATGTTTTCCAAAACCGTTGTTTTAGTTGCGTTGAGATGTCATGCGTTTTTTCATTAGGTGCCGATTTTTTTGACTTTAATTTAAATCGAATAGCTTTACTTTTTTCGCTAATCTGTTTGTCGAAGTTATTGTTGTTGTGGCCTAAGAACTTGAGTTGTTTTAACTCTTTTTTAAAAATTTTAATTGATTTATTCGAATTATTTCCTTTCATGGTGGATGGGGATTCAATTATACCATAATTTGTGGCGAAATAATTGTAGATAAAATTTTGAAATTTGATCGTGTCGTCGTTCAAGTTGCCGAAATCTGAAAAATCGCTTCGATGGATTCGAAAGTAGTCGTTGGCTTCGGTCCATTCTGCCTCTGTTCTTGGCAATTTGACTCCCGGAAGCAATGATTCAGATGTATCGACATCAGTTGATTCTGTTGACGTAGACGACGGATCAGTGTCGGATGCTGAAGCGGAGGTTGGCAGCAGTGGCGAAGGGTGAACTGGAGCAATCATTTTCATGGTTTGATTTTTTATTTGTAACTCTCAGTGTTTTGAACATTTTGCATGAACGTTGATGCATTATAAGACCCCTTCGGCCCTTGCAATATTTCCCGCAACAACATGACAATAAATTATCTACATTATTTGAATTAATATTACTGAAATTAGAGTTAATATTGTTAGAGCTATTGTTTACGTTTAAGTTCGGAGATACAGATGCGGTAATAACAGTAGAAATATTAACATTTGAGTTTGTATTTAATTTTGTACAGCGCCAGGAATGTCTACCATTTGATACAAATGTTTTATTACAGTGAATACATATAGAAGCCATATTTAAATTTATGAACCAGATATTTATAAACCCGATATTTATTCGATAAATTAAACTATTAAAACCGAAATAAAACCAATTTAAATTAAAACTACAATATTCTAGAAATTTTCCCGAATAGAATGAACCTATTTTTAAAAACCAATTACGACAATAAAAACATAAATTATGCATAAAAACAGTGAATTGCACCAATCGGCCAACTCTCTTGTAATATATATGAATAATAATAATAATAATAATAATAGTGGGTACAGATCTTTTATTTTTCATCAAATGCGTAAAGTCAATAATTAGTTAATTAATAAAGAAATAGTCATGATTAAAATTAAATAAAATTTAAATAAAATCATAATAATAATAATAATGTTGACAGCAAATGTAGGTTGTGTCAGCAGCAGAAGGAGCATGTCAACCACATTGTGGCCGGATGCCCAATACTAGCGCCAAAAGAATTTACGCATCGCCACAATAAGATCGCTAATTATCCACATTGGTCAATCCTGAAAAAAATTGGTCAAAATGTGCTTGACCGCTGGTACAATAACCAGCCTAAAAAGGTTGTCAAGTTGGACAAAACAACACTGATGTACGACATGGCTATAAACACCGACCGTAGCATTTGAGAATCTGTATTATAATAATCTAATTAAGTTACAATCAAAGTCGCTGTAAAAACAAAGACACAAAGACGGAACATTACTGTATAACTACACTGATGAGGGCAGTTGATGCCGAAAAGAGCTTTTCTGTAGTAATAACGTTATTGATAATGTTTTGTCAAAAATGTCAAATATTAAAAGTTTTTTTATTCAACTTTAATAAACTTCATCAAGATGATAAAAGTTTTGTTAGAAAAAAAAGAGAAACTCAACTACAAGTTGAATAATGCCGAAAACGCAGTGATACAGCACTTTTATCATTCAGTTGAGTGAGTATGATATACTAATTCATTTCAAAATCTGTATTAAGACCGCTTTTGTATCAATTAATCTACTTTTTACAAGAAATTTCAAGAAGTCACCCCAAATGCAACAAACAGCTTTATCTTAACATAGCCCCTATACATTCAACAAAAATGTTTATTTCCTCTTAAATAAGTTGGAGTATGCCCTACGTTGCCTTCAATCATCAAAAATCATTACTGTTTTCAACAGACACCAAAGATGTTTGCATATGAATGAACTTTATTTCAATTTTCAAAGATAAAAAATATTAATAAGACTCAGAGCTTTTAGTTCATTTCTTTAGTGTTCCCAATTTCAAATTATCAATTTTGTTTTAAAAAAATTAATATTATTTCGAAAATTTAAATGCAAAATGCTTTTAAATGCTTCAATTTAATTAAAAAACAAAAATGTTAAAATTTTAAAGGATAATGTTCATTTAAAATAAGGTTTAGTAACAATTACTTCAGCGCCAATAAAACAAGGAATGCAATTTCAGACTAATTTCCAGTTTAGCTCTGTAGACGTAAGCTATCAGAATTTATTGCAAGAAAGAAATTCCAGACAATTAAACTTTTAGTCATTCTTGAAATTTTTATAAAAGTGAACCGACGAAAATACGTTAATAAAAATGCAAAAAATATTTTTGAAGTGTTTTGTTTTTATTTATTTTAAACATAAATTAATTTTTCATTGATATATTTGCATTAAGAAAAATTTAAAAATGTTACTTGTCATAAAAATAAACTATAAACATTGAATAAACTTAAAAATGTTGACTTCTTAATAACATAGTGTAAGTAAAAGAACAACATCAAACAGTCTAAACTAACAATTTTAAGTAATTAAAGTGTCATTTTTTAATTGGTGTGATTGGCCTGTTAAAGGTCAATTTTCAACTTAGACATAACTTGCGATAATAAATAAACTTTCTCTTTTACATCTTTCATCAATTTTCCTGCAGCAAACTGATCATCTATCATACTTACTGTCTGAGTGTAAGGATCATAACAAACGTTCAGGTTTTGATTCAACGTTAAAGCAAATTTTCTGAAATTAATTAGTTTGTATGAAATTATTGTAAAATTTTATTCATCTATTTGCCAAACTTGACTTGTTTCTTCATATCTTCAAATGACTCTGCGACAAAATAAACTGACTGATAGTTTTGATCATCGTACTTTTGCACTGAAGCAATTTCAGGATCGAAAATCAATTTAGTTGCATTGTCTGAAAGCGAGTATTTCAGTTCTCCGTAAGCCGATAACAAGCCCGCCCCATACGCTTTCAGTTGACCCTCTTGCTTACACAAACCGAATTCTACAGTGAACCAGTAGACCTTAAATAAAATAAAATTCTAAAAATAAAATAATTTATTTTGTGAAAAATTATTATAAAAAGTATTATATAACGGTAGATAGTTTTTCTATGTTTTCATCACTGGCACCCAATGACGCCAGACCAATTTCTTGAGAAAATTCGGCAAATTCTGGATTTGCCAGCATAGGAACGTGACCAAGTAATTCATGAACACAATCTCTACAATTATTTCAAAACGTATGTAAAACCAAATTTTTATCAAAAAATTTTACATGGAAAAGTGCAAAGAACGAAAATAAAAAAATAAAAAAACAATGGAACAAATAAATAATCGAAAAGTTTTTGCAATAATTTAAAAGTTACTAAAAGAACAAACGGCTCAACGGTGTGGTCAGGCTTTGAAGCGTGTCTTATGTATTGTGTACACTGAAAAACACGGAAAGCCAAACTTGCCAAAAAATCTCTTGCAGACAACAGACCAGCAACTGGTCTTAGCTGAAATCCTGTTTTTCCTTAGTAATTAACAGTTTTTTTATATTTACGTAATTAACAGGATAAGTACTTAATTATAAGTAATTATTTAAAGAATTAGGATGATAACAACGCTATTAACAATCATTTAATAGATAAAATAAATAAAATTAATATTTAATAAAATATAATGGCAAACTACCAACTTTTCAAAAAGTTCGACACATTTTCAAGTTGTGGAATTGATTTATCGGTATACAATTTGCATTTTTCAAGTTCATTGAATGCATCGATGTATTGCTGACATGCGTAGCTCTTATACAACAATTTCAGGCTATTGTATACATTCCTCCTGGTCGAAACATTATTTAATACAATAACACTTAACAATTATTTAAAATTTTGTTCAAAATAATTTTTTTTCATAAAATCATAAATTTGATTGTTAATGTGGCATCTTTCCACTCACCCTGGCCAACGTTATAGCATTCAAGTATTTATTCAGTGGCCAAATATTTCTATTTTCAAATCGCGTTTGGTTTTTTTTGGGAGTGCTAAATTTTGTTTTTGGAGTATTTAATTTATTGATAGATGGTTTAAATGTGGGCAAGCGTGGTGAATTGTAAATGTATGTTTTTGGATGGTTGTTGGATATGAATTATTGTATCATTGTCCATAAATGGGTAGATACGCAGGTGACTGTTGATGAATACGTTTGATTTCTGATATTGCTGATGATGGTGTTATATGTGGTTCACTTAAGTAATACGTTTAATTCTTTTTTTTACATATTTGTGGTACGCTATTTATATGGCTTTATAGCTTCCTTTGTGTTGACAATGTTATGATATGATATTTTAGTTTTCAATGTTTTTTGTTGTTATGTCGACAAGGGGCATTTGTCCGGGCCTTATTTCTAATAAAAAAAATAATAACAGGTGCTAGAGACGCACCAAATGTTCAAATTAATCGAATATTTGACCGAAATTTGACATTCGGTTTCAGCCGTTTTAACTGTTGGGGTGTTATATTCTTGCTGTGCTAACTTACAGTTCTGATTCCTGTACAATTTCTAAAGAAATGGTAAAAAAGATTAACGCTGCTGAAATGTGGTTTTTGAGAAGAATTGTGAAAATTAGTTGAACCTCTAATACTTCGAATGAGGATGTATTATAACAGTCCGGTTATGAAAAGAGGAAATTACCACAGATAATCTGACGGGGACAGTTTAAGTTTTTTGGTCACATCATGCGGAAGGAAAGAATAGAAAATCTAACAACTGCTGGAAAAATTTTAGGGGAAAAAAGATCGCAGTCAACAACGAATAACAATTTTGAAATCCTTATGTCACTTGTTGAATATCACCGCATTTTAACTCTTACAAAGTGTTAAAGATCGGGTTTTGTGGAGGTCGATGGTCGCCAATGTCTTGACATAATAAGGCACGAGAAAGAAGTGTTTTGAAATTTTAATAAAAAATAGTTTTGCTGTAAAAAAAAGCAAATTTTATTAATTTATAACAAAAGAAAAAACTAATACTATAATTAAAAATATCGATGTAGTAATTTAAAAAAAAAAAATCTATCTTGAGAGCCCTGGCGAGAGCTTGAACACGTCAATATGAGTTGTGGTACGGCCTCTTGTGCCAGTTTTAACCGGCTGCCGAGGCAGTGCTAATTTAAAATTAAATTTCACTCGACAGGTGATTCTATTAAATCTAAAAAATGTTTTTCAGTCTAACGAAATAGAGAGAAAATACATTGTAACAAATTTAAAAAAAATTATTTTTTTGAAACTTAAAAGAATAAAATAATTTTTAATTTTCGTCTATCAAATAACATTTATTTAGTAAAAAAAATACCAAAAGATATAAAGTACATATATAGAATAAAATAAAAATAGCAACTTGTAATTTTAAAAATCTGAATGCACTTTGAAAAAAAAATTACATCCCACGGTTGTTTTTAATTCAAATTTAGCTAATCTACAGTGGGTTAATCTGTTCCGCGGGGAAGTCTGTTATGCGAAAAGTCCGTTCTGCGAAACACGAATTCCTGTACACTTCTATTTAAATCGAAATAATTGGTTTCGCGCCAAACCAAAAAATCAAAAAAATGGGAAAAATATCAAAAAAACAAGTGGTATTTAGTGAGCCCAATCAGTTTGTCTTTTTTCACTACTCAGAAACACTTAGCAACAAGTAGCAACGCAGTAAAAAGTGCAAACTAAAAAACGTCCTTTCGAGACACTTCGCTTTAACTTTATTAAAAAAAAGTTTAAGTTTTTTATCTGAATTTTTTCGTTTGATTTTACTCAACTACTCTTGAAAAAATTGACATCTTTGAAAGAAAATTAGAGATTTTAACTTCATTTGTCTTTGAAAATTTTTTTTTCGTATTTTCGTTCGTTGTTGTTTGCAATCGGCAATGGATTGAAGGGTCTGTGGTGGACAGGAACACTTCTCTGACACCCAGAAAACCCAGGCTGTGGTTTTTCCGGCGTATTCTCATACTTATTTTCTTTCGCCGATTTCTCCGTCTCATCCCGTTTCGCTTTTTTTTGTCAGGAGCTGCAGTTCCTCCACGGTGAGCTCTTATTGGTGTTCTTTGAGGTCTTCGACGTCAACGTCAGGCATGTTTAGCTGGTGGGCCATCTCGACGATTTCCTCGATTTGGTCCACGGAACCATTTTTTTTTAAACTTAAAAAACACGTAAAAATTTTGTGAAAAAACCTATTGAAGGTTGAAAAGAAGAGATTAAAACGCTGTACGTCCGCCCGCGGTAGCAGCCATGCGCGAAATGTTCGATTTTTCTGGCGATTCCACGCACAACGAAATGTTGTGCAAAAAAAGTCCGGTGCGCAGAGATTTGCCAACTGACCGGAGTCCGTTGTGCGAAAAAAGTCCGTTGAGCGGACCGCGATTTCGGGGAAAATTGCCGTCCGTTCAGCGAAAATCTGTTTTGCGGGTGGTTCGTTCTGCGAAGACCCACTTGTACTTTTTAAAATTGGTGTAACTTGGTTAAATAACATGGTCGTTTAGATTTCATTGAAAAAACAGGTCTGGTAACCGTTGCAGGATAGTTGACTTTTATGTGATGTAGATAACAAACAATATTTTGTTCAAAAAGAAATGATATAACCACATTAAAGATAATGAATTTGAAATATTTGCTGATGAAACAATGAACAACTTTTATACATTTCGAAGTGTGACATTGAAATGTATATTCAACATTTGGAGCAGGTAATTCATGTTTTCAGCTTTGAAAAAAAACGCTTTTTTCCATTTGCTTGATTTTGATTCAAATGTTAACAGACTTAAAACATGTTGCATATAGAGTTTAAAAATATGATCAACGTACCAAGACAAACATTTTATCATTGACAATATTTTCAAAAATGTTTTCAAATATTGTCAAATTGTGTGAAACACAGCTGTGTGATTACTTGTCAATTTTTGCAGAAATTTACTGTTTAGTAAATCAAGAAATCAACAATTTTAACAAGCCATTTTTAATTTTTACTGCTTGTTATAATTTTTTATTTCTTGGTGCTTTTAATGCACATGTTTATTGTCCTGATTATTCTTTTTCTGTTAAACTTCTTTGTTTGGTCTCTACTTAATCTTTCACTATAGGTAAGTCCCTCAGCTTATATTAGTAGTAATATCTTAGATCCTTTTTTGGACTAATTTGCATTTTTTGTTGACTTTCGTTTTTGTTCATCCTATCTATTTTTCTAATCATTCATTGGCTTATGTTATTTTTTCTCATGGTTCTCTATTTTCAAAAAATAAATCTTGTTCTAGTGATCGTTATTGGGAAAATGGAAAAACCGTCTCTTTATCTAATTGATCTATGTTGTCTTAATCATTTATGGTATATAATCTTGCCTCTTTGGTTTTTCTTTCTTCTGATGAATCGTATATTACCGATATTTAAATATTTTGTAATATTGTGGATAAAATGGTTCCTCTTTAGGAAAAAATCTTAAAATGTTTTGGATTGATTGGAAAATGTAATCTCGTTCTTAAAAAGTTATGAAAGAATGTTGATTCTCTTTTAGAAAAAGTTGAAGGAAAAGTCTGTTTTGTCTGCTGGATCTCATTTTAAATATTTCGTACTAAAGGTCTTTTCCGTCAGGTTGTCAAGAGTAATTTTGCCCACTACCACAAATTTTTGGTAAATTTTAGCCACCCCCCTGCCAAATTTCAACATTTTAAAAATTTTGGCCTGCTCCCTTATCAGTGTTGTCAAGATCTACTCCTGAATTTGTGTGTTATTATTGATGAGAATTATTTTTTAAATTGTTTTGTGCTTATATCTTTTTCATCTTTTGATTTATTAAAAGATAATTGACTCATAACTTCGTCCAGCAAATGATTGTGGATTCTATTTTGACTAGTTTAGACTATTGTTATTATTGCCGATCAGGAATTGGTTCGGTCTATTCAATTAGTTCAAAATTCTGCTGCTGCCACGTTACTGTTTGGACCGAGGAAGTTTGATCGTATCTCTGAACGACTGAAGTTTCTTTATTGAATTCCCGTTAAGCATTTATATGTTAGTTTGCTGGTAACTTTTAAATGTGTTAATGGTTTTTGTCTTGATTATTTAGAATCTGTTTGTATATTTGTTGGTTTACTAACATATAGTTGTTTCTTAGGTTTTCCTCTGTTATTAATACCGAGAACTAGTGTTTCATATGAAGATGGGAATTTTTTGTTTCTGCACTTATTCGTACTTTAAATCTCTTGGTGCTTTTTGTCGTCATCTTAAATTTCGTCTTTAATCAAGTTTATTTTTGGTTAATAATATTGTTGCATTTATTAATATTGGTTGTTATAAGTAGTGTCGTTTATACTTTATAAATTTTTATATCTTATTTTTATATTTGTTTTTCATGTAGGGTTATTGACCATATGGTTTTGCTGATGGATGTTGTTTTTTGCATTGTACATATTTTGTATTTGTCTGTTTGGTTGGTTGTATAATTGTTGAAATGTAATGTACTGCTTTAGAAAAGTTGTTTTTGTATGGTTATATAAATTATCCTTCAAGAAAGGTTTACGAGTGAATTTAATTATTTTAAATAAATAACTCCTACAAAAAGTAAAAGTAGCTGAAGGATAAAAATAGTATAATTATTTAAAAGACAAAAATAGCTGCAGGTTTGTCAATTAAAAAAAACTAAAACCTAAATTAGATATTTCGGAATCGATTTCCTCAACACCACAACGCAGTACTGGTCACCCAAGCTCCTAAGAAGGCCAGCTCAAGCAGATGAGGCCATAATCAAGCGATCTCTTTTCAGATCCGTTATCTAGATATGCTTAATACTGCGGTCAGATGGGAACAGGAACATTGGTAATAAACACTATATAGCCCTGATAAAGGTCCAATTTATACAAACCAATACCGGACTTATCGCGCTTGATGCATTAGTTAGGCCATCTTCACCGAGTGCGTCCCACAAAACGGATAAATAATAAAAAAGTTTAATATGATAATTTTTGGTAAAGTTTGCAGAAATTAAAAATAATAATCGATATAAAGAAAGCCAATTAAAATTGACGTTTTATTTTGTCATTGCTAAAAAAAGAAAGTTTTTGAAAAAGCGCACAATATTGTTAACTATCGCAACTAACTCGGACAAAGCCGAAAAATTATGTATGCACAACTGCTTATAAAATTTAGATGGAACAATTGTAATACAAAATTTTAAAGCAAATTCAAGCTCATTCAAAATGAAATTTTTTTAACTTGTTCTTTCTTATCATTTGCATTATATTTTAAAATATCATCAAGCAATAAAATATAAAAGTAACCAGGTAAGTGTTTCATCTTCTTGATAATCAATATACGGTATCGACATTCCACTGTTTTCAAGTCAATGATTCAACATTTGTAAAGATTATTCTAAAAATGAATTTAGTAACCTTTTATAGCCATATGCTTTTTCCGCGATTTGTTGTCTTCTTTTTCTATACACCAAATCACTAAAACCCTATAAAAGATATTTCATTATTATCATTTAAATGGTTTAATTTTAATATATTTTTTTTTATAATTTAATTTTTATAAATATGATGCGACGTATTACAGGATGTTTTTGGTCAAGTTCCGGGTCAAACTTGTTTAAAAGATGGTTGCAAAAATCTAAATCTTCAATTGTCCTAGGAATCATCATTTCCATAGGATTTTCTGTAAATATCGATGTAATAACAATTTGCTTTAAACAAAACTTCAAAATTAAAACTTTGTCTAATTAAGGATTGTCACGGATTCGTTGGAAAATAAATTCGTTAGATTATAAAATTAAAATGATTTATGATATTGTTACCGTTGGGTTTTTTAAAAACTCCACTCTTCTCTGTAATATTTCCAACATGTTCATTGCTTGCCAAAAGAGAGACAACTCTTTTTTCATTAGATTGATCAACTTCAGCAATCATCAAAACGACGTTTTTATTTCCGTCATTATTATGCGATCGAACTTCGTATCCAACGACGTTCACATTCGCATCTTTCTGCAGGGTTATTCAGACTTAGGTTCAATTATTTAAATAATACTCTTATATAATGAATCAAAATCTGTTTTTTATTTACTGTCGTTTATGAAAAAACAATTCCAATACATAATGTGTACGGATTTGTTGATCAATGTCATCTTCCCCCATTGTTTTCATTTTCCTTTATATTCATATAATATACAAATTCTGCGATACGATGTATATATATTTCCCAAATTTTAGTCAGCTAAAAAATAACCAGATTTCTAAAAAATAAATCGTGCTGACCCCCTATTTAAAATATTACCTAGTTTTAAAATTTTCAGATGTCCTAAATGAAAATAATTCTAAATCAAAAACTGATAATGTCATGATTACAAAAATTTCAAACATCACAAATTAAAAAAATTGAAAATCAAACAAACATATAATGTCAGGATTGCGAAACACTTAAAAAATTTCTTAACCGTCATTTTAAACGGGGCAATGAATGAGTACCTACTTTAAGAGGAGAGAGAGTTAAAGAGTTATTTGTTCAACAAAGCATTAATCGCAGTTCTATATCTCCTCTGAGGAATGCCCGTGATAATAATAATAATAAAAGCAATAATAATATTTTTCATAAATCCAAATTCTATTCGACAAAAAAAGTAAGGAGGTCAAAATATGTAAGAATTACTTGTGCAGACCCAAACTAAAAAAACGTCTTCTGATCATTTAACTAAAAAAATTATCCATATTTATACAGTCACACAAAAACGAGCAACAAAACAAATAATCATATAAAAATATTATTAC